TCCAACATGGCCTCAGGCAGTAGACAGAGACCTTAAAAGGTCTTCCACCTTCCAGTGTTGCTCCTATGACAGACGCCAACACCCTCAGTGACCCTTCGAATCCCAATTCATTCCTTCTTTTATTTGTGTGGGGGGCAGGGAGCTGATACAAGATCTTGCTATGCAACTCAGGCTGAGCTCAAATTTGTGCCAATCCCCCTGCCTTAACCTCCTGAGTGTTGGGATACTCCATATTCATGCAGGTCTCCAATTCCTTCATAGTGAAGGAGACACTTGTCAGGTCAGAAAAACTGGGGTTCACGGTCTAGTTCCTGCTGCCCCAGATCACTCCTTCCAGGAACTACACCCAAGACCAATGCTCAATAACTACCCTGGTAGACAGACACGCCAAACTAGGGGCCAGGACAGGGCTTGGTTAACCTGAGCGACCCACAGAGTACACCCAGATGTTTGGCCCCTGCTCTGTGTTCTGCCTCAGGATGATCCTGGCCCACCAGCTGTTCCTTGAGAACATTGAGTCCTACCCCCCTCATGGCCTTTGTCCACTCTGTGCCTCCGCCTGAGCACCACCATGTCCTCTCATCCACGTTGTGCCTCTGTCACTGTCACCTCCTTGCAGCAGTTTCTCTATCCACATGCATAAAACAACCATCTCAGCGCCCTCTCCCTCCTCCAGAACACGTTTATTAACTTAGTCAGAGTTCACATGCCGCAAGGCATGACAGACCCTTGACTGTGTCCCTGACAAGTTCCCGTGTAATGTGACGTAGGTGTAACAGTTCTAGGCAATAGGAATCACTCTTGATCTCCAAAGTGGACGGCGCAGTGGTAGGAAGAGAGTCTCCGAACAATAAGAAGGGCTTGGTTTGAAACTTGACACAGCTACGAACTTACCAAAGACCTTGGATGAGTCATTTGGCAGCTTCCAGTCTGTTTCTTCTGTGCACAGCCTGGGTCATCTTTCAGTGTCTTTCTTTGCTTTCTATTGCTATGATAAAGACCATGACCAAAAGAAACTTGGGGAAATGTTCCTTTCATCTCATAGTCAATGAAGGGAAATCCTGGCAGGAGCTCAAGGCAGGAACTGAAGCAGAGACCATGGAGGACCCTGCTTGCTGGCTTGTTCCTCACAACTTGCTCAGATTTTATTTGAAAAAATGTAAAGGTTGTTTTATTATTTCATGTGTATGAGTGTTTTTCCTACATGCAGGTATGAGTACCACATACGTGCCTAGGGTTTGCTGAGGTCAGAGGATACAGAGGCTTGTGAGCTACCATGTAGGTTCTGGGAATTGAGCCAGAGTCTCTAGAAAAGCAGCAAGCACCCTTAACTGCGGAGCCAACCCTCCAATCCCTAAACCTGCTCCCTTATACAACCAGTCCAGGGGCAACATCACCCACATTGAGCTGAGCCCTCCCATATCAATCCTTAACCAAGAAGATGCCCTACAGACTTCCTTCAGGCAGTCCGATGGATTCATTTGCTCAGTTGAAGTTCCTCTTCCCAGATGGCTCTAGGTTTGGGTCAAGTTGACAAAACCCCAGTCAACACAGTCACTTCCCGGTGGTTGGCAGGATTGTGTGGGTCATTGCGTATGTACTTCAACTGCTATGAAATGCAGTGAGCTGGCAATGCACGGTAGATTATGAGCCTTGTCTCCCAACTTTTATGCATTTGATGTTGAAGGCGAAGGTTTTCAGGGGGAGGGTGCGTGTCTGTTTTTCATTCCACAGTGTTGGTGCAATGTCTAGACCAGAGAGGCAAGGCACAGAGAGGGCAGTGTGCTGCCCCTTGTCAAGAACCACGTGATTCCACTTGTAAGGTGGTGGGGACAGAGAGTGCGGAAGAGGGGACAGGATTTTAAGGCGGAGGCTCAGCCGGGACTAGCTGGGTGTTGTGACCCTGGTTGTCCCACTCTGAGCCTTAAGCACACGAGAAAAGGGCTCCCTTTTGAGTAACTACACCTCTAAATCATAAAAGATTTCTTTCCTTAGCTGTTAGAATGCCAAGAAAGCAAGATTGCTTTCTTCAACCAGTCCTTGTCTCCCTGTCAAAATGAAGCTCTCTCTCCTCTCGGAGGCAACGTGGTCAGCAAAGTGAACGGAATTATACAGGAGCTCCGCCATTGGCAGCATTCTGTCCTCACAGGCCCACTGTAGAACTGTTGAAGGGAAACACCCTACACACACACACACACACACACACACACACACACACACACACCCCGCTAAAGAAGAGCAACGAGCAGACTCAGACATCCCAGTGGCTGGAAGTTTTCACGCCATCCAAATGGAGAGAAGTCTTCAAAAAGTGCCACGCTCTGCTCAATCCAAACCACCTCGGTTGTCCACCCTGCATCATTCTGGGGGATGCCTAGTCTTTCTTCATGTCCTCCTGGGGGTTCATTCAGTCAGCACTTGCTGAGCTCCAGTTTCTCACAAGGCCCCTGCTAACTTCCTCATCAGGAAAGCGGACACAGATCTTCAGCCCTAATTCCTGAGCCTAGGAGATGGCTCAGTTAGAGAGTTTCAGACCTCACATAAAAGACTGGACATGGCAGCCAAAGCCGTGAGGTTCAGCGAGAGACCCTGGCTCAAACCATAAATAAATAAGGGTGGAGACCAAACCAAATTCTAATGGGGAGAGGGAGGAAGATCATCAAGAAAGACAATGTGGCCAACATTTCTTCCAAACCCTGGATCCAGACCACCAATTCAGTGCCTAGCTCTGCCACTGCTTCTTGAGCTCCGGGTATTTTGCCTGGGCTTACTCACACGTGAAACAGGGCTAATGGGGAGGTCTGCCAGGTAAAGCACTGTGAGGAGTGACGAGTTATTCACATAATGAGTAGGAGCAGTGCCCCGGCAACGGGGATGACTCGGGCTGGGCCAGTTGTTCATATTACTGTTTTGTGTTATGCTTAACTTCAACAACCTTCTTATCTGTAACTTGTAAAATGGCACTGAAAGCATTTCATGCTAGCTATACTGTCACCTAAGCAGGTGGTCGTCTACCCGCCTTCCCTGGGCTCTGGTAGGGATGCACATAGAAGCGCCAGAGTCGTTTTCTGAGCTGCTTCCACCCGCTTTATGCTTACTCTGCTTTCTAGCTTGTGTCTGGCATAGAACAAGAAATTCTGCTTTGACGTATTAAGGACAATGGGAAAGACTTCGGGGGTCCTTCTCTGTGTCTTCTCATGGGGGGTCCTTCTCTGTGTCTTCTCATGGGGGGTCCTTCTCTGGGTCTTCTGATGGGGGTCCTCTGTGTCTTCTCATGGGGGGTCCTTCTCTGTGTCTTCTCATGAGGGGTCCTTCTCTGTGTCTTCTGATGGGGGTCCTCTGTGTCTTCTCATGGG